GACGCCTCGAACTTCAACGGTGATCTCAGCCGCTGGGACGTGCGTTCTGTTACAGACATGAGCCATATGTTCCGTGGCGCCCAGAATTTCAACAGGGATCTCAGCAGATGGAACGTGAGTGCTGTTACAGACATGAGATCGATGTTCGAGGACGCCTCGAACTTCAACGGTGATCTCAGCCGCTGGGACGTGCGTTCTGTTACAGACATGAGCCATATGTTCCGTGGCGCCCAGAATTTCAACAGGGATCTCAGCAGATGGAACGTGAGTGCTGTTACAACCATGAACGGTATGTTCGCGCACGCCTCGACCTTCAACGGGGACCTGAGCGAATGGAAAGTGAGTGCTGTTAGAGACATGGGCTGTATGTTCGATGGCGCCTCGACCTTCAACGGTGATCTCAGCAGATGGGACGTCAGTGCTGTTAGACACATGTACTCTATGTTCCAGGGCGCTTCGACCTTCAACGGGGACCTGAGCCGATGGGACGTGAGTGCTGTTACAAGCATGACGGCGATGTTCTCCGGCGCCTCGACCTTCAACGGGGACCTGAGGAAATGGACCGTGAGTGCTGTTACACACATGCAATTTATGTTCCAGGGCGCTTCGACCTTCAACGGGGACCTGAGCCGATGGGACGTGAGTGCTGTTACACACATGCAATTTATGTTCCAGGGCGCTTCGACCTTCAACGGTGATCTCAGCAGATGGGACGTCAGTGCTGTTAGACACATGTACTCTATGTTCCAGGGCGCCTCGACCTTCAACGGTGATCTCAGCAGATGGAACGTGAGTGCTGTTACAGACATGTCTTTTATGTTCCGTGGCGCCTCGACCTTCAACGGGGACCTGAGCGGATGGGACGTGAGTGCTGTTACAAGCATGAGCAGTATGTTCGAAGGCGCGCGGAATTTCAACAGGGACCTGAGCGGATGGGACGTGAGTGCTGTCCAAGATATGAGAAACCTGTTTTTCGAAGCGAGCACATTTAACCAACCCATTGACGCATGGGGAGAGAAGATTGCGCTTGGGACGGATTTGTCGGGGATGTTCGGCGCGCATGTGAACAACCCTGGCACTGCGTTCAACCAAAGCTTGAGAAGCTTTGAGCCGTTGATCAGCGAAGCCTCCACTCGCACCTACAAAGATATGCTCTTGGGCGCGACGAGTTTCGATTGGGGTGCAAACTTCAGCGAAAATTTTTTATCACAGCGGGAAGGGCAGGAGGTGTTGAGGCTACTAGGGCGAAGATAAACTTCTAAAGATCCTTGCTTTTGGTTTTGTCTCCTCTCGCCTAAAGCAGCGCGAGGTCCTCTAGTTTTCTGTAGATCGCTGTTGCTATACTCCGTCGCCCCCTGGGCTAAACAGACACTTTTGTTTTTCCACAATATCAGGAACGATCTGCATTAAAGCAGCCACGACCTAGAGGCAGCTCTAGTAGCAGCTCAGAACTTTTTACTAGACTAATCGGTCGCACTTGTAAAGTTGTAGAAGTCCAAGAACTCTTCATGTATCTATATGTGCAATCTATAAACCGCTCACTTTGCCCTGCTTGCATCTACAGCCTACGAGGAAGAAGGAATTATGATGTTACAGCATTCGGATCAGCAACGGGAATGGGCTACGGTGCTTCTTACACTTTTCTTTCTGGAAAAAAGTCACTGCTTTCGTAATCCTGGGAGGTGATGCAATGAAGAAAAAAAGAAACACTGGAATGGAAAGAAGTATTTTTCCTTGTATAATAATTGGTGGAGATGATGTGTGATTGGTGTATTGAAAAAAAAAAAACAGCCAGATGTGTAGAGCAAGATGGAAGCGAAGTCGTCGTTGGACTCATACACTTGTTCAAAACTTGTTCTTTGTTGTTGATATATTCATCAGCTTTGAAGTTTGTTCTTTTTTTTGAGTTCCAAGTAGGCGCGCGCGCATGTTCATCTCCGGAACCACATGCAGAAGGGTCTGCAAAAGAGAACGCCTGAACGTCATATACATATTATCGAATGCAAAGTTATTATACTCGTGTCTGGCGCTCCTGTTTTTGCATGACGCAGAGGATCTGGTATGCAACGCCTAGCATCTTCACAGGTTTTGAGAAGATGGACATGAAGCATTACCTAACTCGCATGACAAATCCTCTCCTTCGGTGACACAAGATGAGCAACTTTTTCGGCCCATGCGTGCCAGATCATTTTTGCGTGACCTGAAATGCGCGGCACAAGTTTACACGAATGATCCAGACCCAGATATTAAGTGCATTTGCAAAAAGGTCAAAGAAGGTCAGTGCAATCGTCAAATGGCTGTCGCGACGGCTCCTGGAGGTCGTCGGGCTATTACTTAGTGAACTGAACAAGAAGAAAACAAGGTCGCGTGAACAAGAAGAAAAATGAATTTAATCTTCTATCAAGATCACGGCTCTTCTTCCTCGGTCAAAAACCTCCCCTCTACTCACACGACAGCTGGAAAGTATAAACTACAGCACAGCTATAGTTGTAAAAGCAACAGATCCAGAATAAAGTCAAAGCAACAGAAGATCGACTTGGAGCGCAAAATCAAAATCTAAATTAAACCGAAGGCAATATTGAGAAATTGACGCAGGATTCACTTCATTTTCAAAACTACAAGTAGTTCTAGTTCACCTGAAACCCACTTCTATTGCAGAAATTGAGGTTCATCGAGCTGCGCCCTTTTATAATTTTCTACCTCGCGACAAAAAGTGACTGAGGACGACGCGTGTGATCTTCGAACAGCTAAGTAAATTTTGTTGCGCCGTTTTATTTATCTCCCTCGGACAGTTGTATTACACTACAAGGTAGCACAAGTAGAAAATAAATGATGGTGGGACAACTACTTGCGACGCGAGGAGATGAAAAGTCTGCTGCGCCCCCTCTCGGTTGTACTGGCAGCTCTGCTTGTTGTACTGTGCGTGGCGGTTTCCATGTTCATCCGGTGTTGAAGAAGATCACTCTTGGCCCGCTTCTTCTCGGGTGCGCGCTCTTCTACTTCGTCAACGGGGCCGCGGCGGCGCAGTCGACATCGACGCAATCGTCCTCCGGTTTCCATGTTCATCCGGTGTTCAAGAAGATCACTCTTGTATCCTGAGTAAAAAGGTACCCACACCAGAGTCAGGATGGAGATTTTGCAACACAAACCTAGGAGTTTTGTGAGTCACGCATGACAAGTTGCACTCTGCAGTGTAGTGCAGGTTAGCAAGTGCAGCCGCGTCACAGATTCATCTGTTCATCCTGTTCACAGCATCACAAATTCCAAAACACGATTGGAAATGGCTCTCATGCGGATGCGCATTACAAGTCTTCCTGTCTTTGCAAATCTGCATTACAACTCTGGTGTGGGTACGTTTTTACTCAGGACATCTTGGCCCGCTTCTTCTCGGGTGCGCGCTCTTCTACTTCGTCAACGGGGCCGATCGTCCTCGGCGCCGTTCGTCCTCGGCGCGCGCCGTTATCAATTGTAAAAATGTCTGGGTCTGGAAGATTCTAAACTTGTGATGCTGTCTCTGGATTCTAAAAAAATTTGCATTGCATGACCGGCAACAGAACTCCATTTTGTGCTACCCGGAGAGGGCATTTCTCATGCGGTAGAGGCATCACAAAGGCCTTTGAAAATCTGTCATGCTAGAGCATGCATCACAGACATCATGAGTCTTCCAAAATATGCATGACAAACCTGGCAAGCTTCCAGACCCAGACATTTTTACATTTGATAGCCGTTCGTCCTCGACTACGCGCAGCGCAGTCGACACTAGCGCGTCGATCGTCCTCGGCACCGGCCTATGAAATGCCAATATGTCTGGGTCTGGAAGGGTTGGAATTTGAGATGCTTTCTCTCATCTGCTCTCAACGGCCACTACACAAAGATCTGCTATAAATAGAATATGCATGAACAGCAAATGCAAAACCTGTCCACTTTTGGCCACCGGGACAGAGGATTTCTCATGCAGAATAGGCATTGCAAAGCCGTCGCAGAAGAAGAAGAAGAACCTCTGTTGTAGTGCCGGGCCCGAGAATGATCCAGAGGACCTGCTTCTGGGCGGCCATACAAAACCTGCATGACTACATTTTCCAGACCCAGGCATATTTTTGGATTTGATAAGGCCACTCGAAGTACTAGCTCTGCTGGCGTGGTCGTCCCGACGGCGGGCGGCGGGCGTGCTTCCAAAAGGTGGAGCATCGGAAGAAATACTACTAGCCGCGTGGCACCTTTTTTACCGCCCCGCGACCTCGCGCAGTGGTCAGTGGTTGCACAGGATATCCACCAAGTCGCGAAGCCGAGGCTTGCATGGCTGCAGAAAATTCAGCAAAACGCGGACCCAGAATGGACCATGGACGAGAAGCGCCGCGGGGAGCCCTTTCCCCCGAGCCTGGAATTTCTGAAGACCGCGATCAAGCTCTGGACCAATGCGGAATACGACACTTCGCACGAGCAGCGCAAAGCGATTGTGGCGAAATATGGCGAGCCAGACACGTGGAACGTCGCAGACGCGTTGGGCGCACGGGACGAAAGCGGGCGGCTCCGATTTCGTTTTGATTTTTGCAGCAATACCCCTCCAGCAGGGCAAGACTTACCTATGTCGTGGGGACTCTGCTTTCATTCCTCGTTCAGCGTCACAAACTGGCGAGTGACCGGCGTGGAAAGCTTGGAAAGCATGTTCGAAGGCATGCGCGGCCTTTCCTTTCCGCTCTTCTGGGATGTATCTCGGGTTACAAACATGTACGCGATGTTTCGAAGCAGCGACTTTAGCCAGGATCTCAACAGCTGGGACGTGAGTGCTGTTACAACCATGTCTTCTATGTTCAGTCACGCCTGGAGCTTCAACGGTGATCTCAGCAGATGGGACGTGAGTGCTGTTACAGACATGTCTTATATGTTCAATGGTGCCTCGACCTTCAACGGGGACCTGAGCGGATGGGACGTAAGGGCTGTTACAAACATGGACTCTATGTTCTACGGCGCCTCGAATTTCAACGGCGGGGACCTGCGCGGATGGAACGTGAGTTCTGTTAGAAACATGAGCGCTATGTTCCGTGACGCCTCGAACTTCAGCGGGGATCTCAGCAGATGGGTCGTGAGTGCTGTTATGTACATGGAGTCTATGTTCCTTCGCGCCTCGACCTTCAACGGGGACCTGAGCGGATGGGACGTGAGTGCTGTTACAGACATGAATTGTATGTTCCGTGACGCCTCGAGCTTCAATGGGGATCTCAGCAGATGGGTCGTGACTGCTGTCACAACCATGCACTCGATGTTCCGTGGCGCCTCGACCTTCAGCGGGGACCTGAGCGGATGGGACGTGAGTGCTGTTAGACACATGAGTAACATGTTCCACAACGCCTCCAGCTTCAACGGGGACCTGAGCGGATGGGAAGTGGGTGCTGTCCAAGATATGAGCGAGATGTTTTTCGAAGCGACCACGTTTAACCAACCCATTGGCGCATGGGGAGAAAAGATTTGGCGTGGGATGGCAAGGACTCGCGTGCGCCAAGTTCTATTGGTTGGGATGTTCGGCGCGTATGTAGGAGGCCGTGGAACTGCGTTCAACCAGAGCCTGAGAGGCTTCGAACCGTTGATGCTTTCGGGCGCGACGAGATTTGAGTTTGACCGCATGCTTTCGGGCGCGACGAGCTTCAACTGGGATGCAAACTTCAGCCAAGAGCTTTTAGCACAGCGGAAGGTAGTGAAGAAGCTACTCGGGCACCGATAAACGTCTAAAGATGCCCGCTTTTCTTGTCTCCTCTCGCTTCAAAGCAGCGCGATCTATCATGATGTCCTCTAGTTTTTATGTAGATCGACTCTGCTAGCTTTCCTTATGTTGTATGTACTATATAAAAGTATATTCGAAGATTAAGAGGTTGACGAGGAGGGGGAGAGGATGACGATGTGAAGAAAGAAAAATTTGTTCGAACTACACCAAAACACAATGCTGACGCAAGACAAACACAAATTTGCTTTTTACGTTTGTGTATGATTTATAAAATTTTAGTACGACATCCTGCAAAACGAAAAATCTTTGCTCTGCCATCGACCAACATAGGGACAGATGACTTCCGGCGCTCAAAGCAGCTCCCGGTAGGTGGCCAGGGACTCGCAACGAGTCCGCTGAACCGGTCCGAATGCTCTCAGCAATGTCTATGGCATCAGAAAAACAACAAAAATTGCAAAAATAACGTCGCGGCCTTTCCTTGCGCTCGTGCGTGTGTTCTGCTGAAGATTTCCACACGCCGTTCGTGTAGTTGAGATGAGAGATGAACCAGTCAACAAGATAAAGAAAAATCACAGACAGGATCGAGAAAGTATAAAGCTGTTGTGCGCAGCGACAAACGCAATGATCAAACTGAATAGCAAGAGTCCGAAAACAAAAGCGCGCAAGAGTACAACTATGACGGGGGACCCTTCTGGGCCCCTCGTGAAGATCCGAGCTTTTCACTTCAGTCCGTCGCTTTTTTTTTCCCTCCAGTCTTGCCTTCTATTCTTCTTGGCTGATGATGACACAACTCCGATAAAAGATGAAGGAAGCCCAAGGGGGGAACGGGTGGCCCTTGTTTTTTCATTTGATGCATTGTTAGAGATAGAGTAGAGTCATACTTCTAAATATGATCCCTGTTCAAAATTTAAACAGGTTCTTTTACGTGCTGCCGGTCGAAGGTATTGATGAGTAGCCACAGCCAGTAGAACTACTTTTTCTATAACCATGACAACGATCATGAAGAAAGACCCCGCCCTCGAGGAAGAGGTCCGAGCGCGGACTTCCACCTTGCTCGCTCGACTCAAGTCCGCACAGGCGGCGGCGGCTGCTGCGGCCACCGGCCCATCAAGTTCTGCTTTTGATGCTTTCGCATCGGCAACCGCCTTTCTCTCTGCGACAGTGGGCCGCGCGGTTACAAGTGCAGCTACATCCTCGACGTCCACTACCACTTATGAAATGCAAATATGTTGCCCGGGTCTGGAAGAATCCAAACTTGTCACGATGCAAAATTTCCGTGCTCCATGAGGTCTGGTAGATGCAGGTGGTGGACCTAGCATGGCTACAGATTTTGCGAGGTGGTCTCCATCATGCCTATCCTGCGTGAGGAACTCCTTCACGCAAGACAGATTTTTGCATGATCCAGACTTAGCATGACAAGTCTTGCACTCTTCCAGACACGTTTGCCATGCATACCACTAGTACAGCAGCTCTGTCTACAGCCACTCCTGCGAGCATTCTTTACGCCGGAGCTGCTGCACGACCCGCAGCGACGCCAGCACCGCTTCAGCAGCAAAACCTGAAAAATCTCCTCCAGACCGCCGACTTCGCGAGGCTACTGGACAGCAATTACACACTGAACGAAGAGCTTCTTCAGGAAGCGGATCAACAGCTGCACTCCGGGATCCAAGCAGACCACAACCTGGTTGCCAACTATGACTGGCGGTTGCTTAGCGAAACGAGGAACAGACAACTAGTTTCCGCATATGGGCAGGTGCACGCGCTGAAGTCGAAAGACTTAGACATCGTGAACATCTCCGTTCTGCAGCAGAAGTTATCAAATGTAAAAATGTCTGGGTCTGGAAGAATGCAAACTTGTGATGCTGCATTTGGATTCCAAAAAAATCTGTATTGCGTAAGCAGCAAAGGGAATGCAGTTTTGTCTACGCGGAGGGGGCATTTGTCATGCGGAATAGGCATCGCGAAGCCCTCAAAAAGTCTGTGATGCTAGTGCATGCATCACAGACATCATGGCCCATGCAAAACGTGCATGACAAGTCTCAGAAATTTCCAGACCCAGACATTTTTACACTTGATAGAAGTACAACGTTTACCAAATGGAGCAGCTGGGCAGTCGAACGGGAACGAGCTCCCCTGCGTCTTCCTCGTTCTCCAGTCGTGCACACCAGGCCGCGGGGCAACTACGCGACGCCAACAAAGCTTGGGAACAAAAAGACAACGCAGACTTGGACTTGCTGAAAACCTACCTGAGCCACGCCATCGTGGTCTTAGAGGGCTGTCTCAAGTTCCAAGACCAGTGTCTCTACGTATCTAGGAAGCTGATGCCCCTAGTGTTGCGCGACTGCGACGTGCCCGGTGTTGATGTCGTGGACCACTTCGGCAGTAAAAACTTTGGAAGAGGAGGGAGCACAGTCGCAGGCACAAGCGCAGCTTTCCAACATGACCGTCAACACTTCGCAGAAGACGGGCTGGAATCATCGACGCAAGGAGCTAGCAGCGGCATCAACACCAGTTCTCACGGTCCACTGCTTACTACAACTTCCGGGCTTGTTGAGAAGACTGGAGCGTCGACGAAAAGTCTGACTGAGCAGCAGATCGCAGCCGTTTGCCAAAGCAACGACGCGGTCCTGGAAGGCGCTTTTTTTGACACCCCGGCGAGCAATACCGATGCCCTCGAGAAGGGTTTGGATGCGAACTATCGCCTGCTGTTAGACCTTATCAAATGTAAAAATGTCTGGGTCTGGAAGGGTTGGAACTTGTGATGCAAACTCTGGAACACACAAAAACTTGTGTTGCATGAGCGCCAAAAGCTGTCCATTTCTTGGCACGCAAGTAGGAAGTTTCTCATGCGGGACAGGCATCATGACGCTTGCTCAAAACCTGTGATGCTTTTGCCTGCATCAGACGCCATTTGCGTGATCCTGCAAACATGCATGACTAATCTCACAATCTTCCAGACCCAGACATTTTTACATTTAATAGACCTGCTGGGTCTCGTGAAGATCGACAAGCAGCTGGCGCAACAAGACGAAAACGAAATTATGCCCGCTGGTGAAGAAATAAAAGATGAAAAGGATCTACTTTTTGCACTAGACCAGGCACCATCTTCCCCGGCACGGCGAAAATCCCTGCTCGCTCAACAGCTAGACGCCCTGCAGGCACAGACACTGCTGATCAAGCTTATGACCTGCTCAAACGTTACAATCTCAAACGTTACAATCGAGTCTGGGATTTGTCTTGCATGATGAGCGTGACAGACTCGCAGAGCGTTTCACTTTCTGCAATACAAATTTCGCCAGATTATAGTGCGGTTTGGAGCTCCGAAACTTGTCATGCGCAATCCTGTGGGAAGAGGCTAGATCATGCGCTCTTGCATCACAGATCTCCATATTCTATTGTAACGTTTGAGATTGTAACACCTGAGCAGGTTATAAAGCTGAAGTTGCTGGAAGGGGAAATATTGACAGCTGATGCATCTTTATCCTGTGCAAAACTATCGCACTCGTATTGCAATCATGCATTACAAATCTTGTTTCCAAGGCATATCTGCATATACAAATTTCATTTCTCATGCTGAGGAAATAATTTGTAATGCATTTACACGACGAGTGCGATGCTTTTGCACTGCATAATCTTCCAGTGCCACTCGTGCCGCTCCTAAAAGTGATCTTCCTGACGTCGCTCCTTCATCTGCAAACAGTACTACAAAAAGAATGCCGGCGGTCCTCGCCGACCACAGCGATTTTTACCAGGTTCTTGACGCTGGCCACGTGGCTCTGGCCGACACAGTGACTATCAAATGCAAAAGTGTCTGGGTCTGGAAGGATGCAACTTGTGATGCTACCTTTGGACTCTACATAAAATCTGTATTGCATGAACAGCAAAAGAGGTGTAATGCTACGCGGAGAAAGTTTTTCTCATGCGGTATGAGCATCAGAAAGCTCTCGCAAAATCTCTGATGCTAGGGCATGTATCACAGACCTCATGGGTCAAGGTCATGCGAAATCTGCATGACAAACTCCTGCATTCTTCCAGACCCAGACACTTTTGCAATCCATAGTGGCAGAGGAGTTCAAAATCCTGTGGAGCGAGTGGCGAGAAAAACGGCTATCAAATGCAAAAATGTCTGGGTCTGGAAGAACGCAGCTTGTGATGCTGCATTTGGATTCCAAAAAAATCTGTATTGCATGAGCAGCAAAGGGAACGCATTTTTTGCTACGCGGAGAGGGCATTTGTCATGCCGAATAGGCATCCAGAAGCCCTCAAAAAATCTGTGATGCTAGGGCATGCATCACAGACATCATGTCTCATGCGACACGTGCATGACAAGTCTCAGAATCTTCCAGGAGACCCAGGCATTTTTACAGTTAATAACGGCAGCGCAGATACGAATCAGAGCGGGTGTTTCTTCAGGAAACCGAAGTGGTAGGGATACAGAAGTGGCATAGTTATGCAGGACAAGTACAAGAACCTTTACCTTCTCCTTCGCCGATGTTGCTGGCGGCCGGCTCCTCGTCCTCCGCCGCGGACCGGCAAGTTCCGGAGCAGACAAAGCTGATCTGTTATCCAATGCAAATATCCCTGGATCCCTGGATAAGGTTGTAACTTGTGATGCTGTCTTCGGATTCGAAAAAAATCTGTATTGCATGAGGAGCTGCAACAGGAGTCCAGTTTATTGCTGTACACGGACAGGGCATTATTTCTCATGCAGAAAAGGCATCAGGAATCCCTCTAAAAATCTGTGATGCTAGGCTATGCATTACAGGCATCATGGGCCATGCAAAACATGCATGACAAACCTGGAAACCATCCAGACCCAGACATATTTGCATTTGATATCTGTGGGCTCTTACTCAGAGCGAACAGCCTGTACGCCGAGTTCGCCGTGGCAGTTTATGAACTGCAAAAGTATCGCACTCGTATTGCAATCATGCATTACAAATCTTGTTCTTAAGGTATCGCAGCATTACAAATTTCATTTGTAATGCTGAGCGAATTTGTAATGCGATTTATAGATACTAGTACGATGCTTTTGCACTGCATACAGTGTTGCCAGAGCTGATTGCCCCCGCCCTCTCGAGCAGCGGTGCAGCGGACAGCCCCTCCATCGAAAAAATTACTTCGCAGCTTGGTGCAACATCCCGTGATCATGTAGTAGGCGACGTGGCAGATAAAAAGATGACAACGACCGCAGCAGGAGTTGTACCCACAGGGGCCGCTGCCGTCAACAGCGCGGAAAGTTGTGCAACTAGGTCTTACTTTGACCAGGAGATGCGGCCGCGAACCGCCGAGGCCAGGTCGTTCGCGGAAAACCGGTTTACCAACCGGGTGAAGCTTCTAAGTTACAATCTCCAATTTCGCCCGCCCTTGCCGCCCTCCTTTCCGGAGTTTCAGGAATTCCTTTCCACTACGGCGAAAACGACGTCGACTGTGGTAAGCACGTCGACGGAACCGGCTAGAAGACGTGAAAATGAAAATGCCGCCAGCACCGGCCGTGCTGTTGGTGCGGCTGGTAGATCGTCGACCACATCGAGCCTTACTTCTGGTCCACCGCAGCACAGCATGTCGTCCACTGCATTTTGGGAAGGCGAAGCTGCAAAAGACGAGCGGCTGAAAAGACTCCTGGCACCCGGAGAGGAGGTACCAAATGCAAAAATGTCTGGATCTGGAAGGATGCAACTACTTGTAGTGCTATTTTTGGATTCTAAAAAAATTCTGTGTTGCATGACAGGCAACAGGAGTCCAGTTTTTGTCACGTGGAGAGGGCATTTCTCATGCAGGATATGCATCAAGAAGCACTCAGAAAATCTGTGATGGTAGGGCATACATCACAGCCGTCATGGGTCATGTCAGGCGTGCATGACAAGTCTTCCAATCTTCCAGACCCAGACATTTTTGCATTTGATAGGAGGTGCCGGTTGGAGCCGAGGAAAATGGAAATCAAAATCGGAATGATTTGACGCACACAAGAACTACCGTCAGCACTGCCACTGGCCCTCCTGGAACATCAAGCGATGTATTCTTGAAAACAGAACATCAAACCGACGGCGCGCGAACCTGCATTTTCGGCGGAAAATTCGATTTCCTTTGTCTGCTATGAATTGCAAATATGTCTGGGTCTGGAAGAATGGATGTTTGTCATGCTTGTCTGGCATGACTCTTGAATCTGTCATGCACGTTACCCAAGCGCTCCATTTTTCTGTCATGCAGGAACGCAGTTTGTCATGCAGAATAGGCAACACCTAGAAGCTCAGAAACTTGTCATGCTGGGCCAGCACTTGTGGCCTCATCATGGTACGCCACCCAGCATCACAAGTTTCCAGACCCAGACATTTTTGCATTTGATATCTGCAGGAGGTCTACGATTCGTATTCAGACCGAAGGACTATCACATGCAAAAATGTCTTGGCCTGGAAGAGTGGAACTTGTAATGCTGTCTGCGGATTCTAAAGATATCTGTGTTGCATGAGCAGCAAGAGGAGTCAGTTCTTGGCACGCGTTGAGGGCATTTGTCATGCGTAATTAGCATCAAGTAGCTCTCAAAAAATCTGCGATGCTAGCACCAGCATCTCAGACCTGACGGGTCATGCAAAATGTGCATGACAAGCCCCGACTCTTCCAGACCCAGACACTTTTGCAGTTGATAAGGACGAAAATTGTGCAACAGTTTCTCGCCGACAAGAAGCGGCTGGTCGGGCTCAAGGGTCCTCAACACGCAGGTCGTTTTCATCCTGATGAAAGGAGCGACGACGGACGAGGGGGAACAAACCAACAAGACGAGGAGTTTGCGTTGTCGCGCCGGCAGCACTTGCAAAACCAGCAGCAGGCGCCGGCGTTTCTGCCAGAGAACCACCCGGCAGGACGACGGGGTCCACGTCCCGCCAGCACGTTGATGCCCAGCACCGCCTCCGCGTTACTATCTCGCAGTACAATCGTGGCGCGCAGACGAGCTGAAATTTTGCGCGCCTCCCACCTGGCTGCGGTCACCCACAGCCCGCAACCGTATGATCATTTCGGGTCCTCTACTTCGGAAGCTGCTGCGCAAGAGGACGAAGATCATCATGTTTTTCCACTTTTTGAAGACGTTGATGACCAGGACACAGCGGCTAGGGGACCTACTACTACGTCGAGTAGAAGCAACGCAATAAACTACCACACCGGAACTGCGGAAGATGATCACTCATCGCTGCAAGAAGATCTCCACGTGTTCGCCTCCTCCACCCTGACATCCAACGCGGTCCTGACGAATGGCTACGCCCTCGATGCGGGGCTGTTGCTTTTCTATTCAAAAAAAAATGACTGTACGTCTGGTAGGTCAACTTCATTTTTGGCCGAAAAGCATGAAAGACAAATCTTTCGGGTGTAGTACATAGCAAAAAAAAGAAAAACAACTTTTCGTGGGCTGATAGCGCGATGTGAAGACACGAGCGACGTTTTCGGCCACACGATACTAGCCGCCATGATGCATGTTCTGCACGACAAGTGTTGTCACTGCCGTACTTCGTCCTCTGCAACTACACACAGTTACACTAACAATTTTTTTTGGTTGCATATTTGATCGAAGTACCCGATTGTGGACAGGGAGGAGCTGCAGTTTGAGACGTTGGGGCGCGGCTGGGACAAGTTTATCTGCTTTGGCGCACTTTACGCAAAAATCAGGATTCCAAGGCTGTCTTCGGCGAAGCAGGACCACGGGACTTCTGCGGACGAAGGCAAGAATAGAAGTTACCAGCAGGAGGAGCAGCAGTGGCCCTGTGATGAAGTACAACAACAACAATCGACTTTATTGTCAATAAGCACGACTTGCGAATACGTGCACCTGATCACGACCCGGCTGCAGCCTGAGTATGACGAACATTCCCAGGCGGCGCGACACGATCAAATCTTGGAGCTCGTCGAGTTTGTGCTCAGGCTCGCAAAAAAGAGAACAGGAGGAGAGCAGGAAAGAGGTAGTTCTTCTACTTCTTTTTTCCAGTGGCCGCTGATTCTGACCGGGGATTTTAACTGTCGGTCCGAGCTGGAGTGGGAGCGGGACTTGCTGCCTTTGTTGCAAAAGTACTTGGCAAGTCCTCGTCCGCACGAAGTATGTACTATGTGGGAAACGATACACGATCTGTCATCTTCCGGCAGCACAACAAATCAGCTGGAGCGAGATGCGCGGGCAAAGGGGTACAATCGAAAAAAGAAAAACGCGGCAGGTGGCGTTGCTGGTGTTGGGGTCGTTGGCGAGGCCGGTGGTACAACTAGTACCGGGAGCTGCTGTACCAGAGAGGCAGAAGACATCGGCACTTCTGTGGACAACCCAATGCAGTGGAACAAAGTTTTGTTTTTCACCCCGCGGCAAAGTTCTGGTGTAATTCTTGAGAAAGACAGCCGCGAGGACGGCTTTTTTCAGGAAGAGGACACCGGTACCGGAGTAGAGCTGCAAGATCAAGCGGAGGAAGCAATAAAAAAGAAAACTTCCGCCCAGGAGGACGAGGTGGGCGAGGAGCCTTCTACATATCAAGTGTAAAAATGTCTGGGTCTGGAAAAGTGTAGACTTGTCATGCAGATTTTCCATGACCCATGAGGTCTGGAATGCGGAACTTAGCATGACAGACTCTGCGAGGTCTCTGCCATGCCTATCCTGCATGAGAAACTCCCCTCCAACTTTTGGTCAAAAGTGTACAGCTTTTGGCACTCATGCAACACAGATTTTCGCATGCTTCAGATTTACCATGACAAGTTGGAATCTTCCAGACCCAGACATTTTTGCAATTCATACTACATCAACTCCTCTTCGGTGTCAACAAGAACTCGAGTATCAAATGCAAATATCCCTGGATGTCTGGAAGATTCGGAGACTTGTCATGCAGATTTTCCATGATCCATGTCGTCTGGAATGCAGGACCTAGCATGACAGATTCTGTGAGATCCCTATCATGCCTATCCTGCATGAGAAACCTCCTCTCAACTTGATCAAAAGTGGACAACTTTTGGCATTCATGCAACACAGATTACAAGTCATGCATCCAGAATTAGCATTACAAGTTGCAACATCCTTCCAGACCCAGACACTTTTGCAATGCATATCGAGGGTCTCCTTGCCAAGATCAAAGCGGAAGAACCCAAGCTCGCCCCCATCTCGCTCCTGCACAAATCTGCATCGTGGAAGCCGCAGGACCTTGCGGCTGTTGCTATCAAATGCAAATATGATGATTGGGTCTGGAAAGTTGGAGCTTATCATGCACATTTCGCATGACCCATAATGTCTGTGATGCATGCCCTAGCATCACAGATTTTTTGAGAGCTCCTTCTTGCTGCTAATTAGAATTACGCATGAGAAATGCCCGCCCCCCGTGCCAAAGAGTGACTGCTTCTCTGGCTGCTCATCATGCAACACAGATATTTTTAGAATCCGCAGACAGCATCACAAGTTCCGCTCTTCCAGAGGACCCACACATATTTGCATTTGATAGTTGCGCAGGCGGAGCATTTCGTCGAGAAGACGCAGATATGCATTGCAAAAGTATCGTACTCGTATTGGTATTGCAATCATGCATGCAGTAATCTGAGTTGTCCTACGCTGAGTTGCTTTTTTGACTTTTTTTTGCGCAGTTCCTGGCGCGATCTGAATTGTCACAATATAGCTCATACGTTCGACTTTCGTCCTTGCTACGTTTTCTTCGTGAATCCTTACTGTTTTGCCGCTTTGGGTTTCACGTATGACGGGGGGAACGTCATATCTTGCAACTTTAGCCGTCGCCTTTCCGGGGTTGTCATCACGTGATAATCATGTGATTATCACGTGATGAAAACAACTCAAAATGGCTTATGGATCGCAAAAATCATGTGATTATCACGTGACTACTCACGTGATTATCATGTGATCCGCGCAGGCTTGATTGTTCGGGGCCCAAAGCATGGCGCAACGGGTAAAAAGCTGCACGCGCTGCGTTCTACCGCAGCCAGTTTGCGGGGGTCCTGCCAAGGAATGCTCTCCCGGGCCCTGGGCATGGACCATGCCCATGGTTGCGCGTGTGGCGGGGCAGCGTTCCGAGCAAATTGCCGCAAGTCTCCCGGTCTAACTATTTCGGCACGCCTCGCGCCTGGTATAACCCATAGCGCTTGCGGGCGTCCTTCCCCCCCCCCCCCCCCCGGGCCCTCTTTCGCATGCTGCCGCGCATGCGAAATCAGGGCGCGCGCGCTGCCTATCTTCGCTTTTGCTTTAAAGCAATGCTATTGCTATGAGGAAAACGTCGGCACGCACGCACACTGCCCGTCGCGCCATAGGCCTAGCGCCCGCGCAGGCTTCCCGCGCTACCGGCCTTTTAGGGCGAGCGCTTCTATCGAAGGCGCCCGTAAGCGTGGTGGGGGTGGGCACTTCCATTTCCGTGGACTATTGTCTTCTTGCTTCAGAGCTTGTCGCTGGCTTGTGCCGGGAAATATATTTCCGATTGACCGAGATAGGCTGCTTTGTCTTTCTGCGCTGAATTGCTTCGCTTTCTGACAATTCAGCTGCTGAGCTATTGCCTTCGTTTTTGGTCAAATACGACACAAGGTCCGCTATTTTCGCTTTTGAAGAAGTTGGCTGCTGAAATGCCTTGCTCGCTGTTTTCGGGTTTTCGTAATACGATACGATGTAAGGTTTTCTGGATTCTTAATACGTATTTGGGTACAATTCATCCTATACGACAACTCATCTACCTGCATGCATTACAAATCTTTTTCTCAAGGTAAATCTGCATTACAAATTTTATTTCTCATGCTGAGGAATGCATTTTTTTATACGAGCGCGATACTTTTGCAGGTCATAACAGATGCTCCTGGACCGAGGAAAACAGTTTCTGAAGGAAAATCTCCCGGAACAGATCACCGCGCACGCATCGGTCGCCCCGTATTTGATGGACGTGGAGCAGCTGAAGAACGGTAACCCGGTCCTCTGGAGCGACGCTTACGGCGTCGTGAAGTCGTCGCCCGTTCTTGGTAGCACAGCGTACAGTCCTTCCGGCGTCGAGGTCAAAAACGGCGGTCGTGGCGCTCCGCGAGGCAAGGCAACTGGAGGTGGTGGCTCTACTCCTGCTTCCTTCTCTCAACTATCCTGTGCAAAAGTATCGTACTCGTACTAATTGCAGTCATGCATTACAATTTTTTTTCTTAAGGTGAATCCGCATGACAAATTTTATTTCTCATGCTGAGGGAATTTGTAATGCATGCACCCAGATGAATTGTCGTATAAGATGAAATGTAACAAAATACGTATCTGTTATCCAGCGAAGCTTGCAGCGTATCGTATTACGCAGCAGAGAAAAGCGAAAGCGAACACCAGCCGAGCCAAATTCGACAAAAGCAAAAAAGCAACCCTTGCAACATATTTTCCCAAAAATGAATTGCAAGAAGCATCAAGCGTTGTTGTAAAAATCGATGCAATTCAGCGTGAAAAGACAAAGCAGCTCAGCTTGCCGCTTCTGTGATATAGCTGCGCTGCGAAATAGAATAAGACGAGCAAGCGGAAAAAAAATGCAGCAAAGTAGCGACAGGAAAGCGAGCGCGATCTACTTCTATTGCCTCAGCTGCAGCTTCTGTGACAAAATTGACGCACTGAGAAACGCGATCAAAAAAAAAAGTCGCTCTTTAGATTGTGAAAATGTAGGGAATGAGAACGAGAAAGCCAAAGCTAACATAGGGAGAACAAAAATACACAGAACGAGTTCCACATTAGCAAATAAAGCCTACAAGACTTAACTTGCACCAACACAAAACGCAGGGACATATCAAATTAGCAACGCGAGTTTTGTATGAGAACAAAACGAGCGAAGGAGAACTTGCAGGCGAAGTGCAGCGTCGGGGCAAGTTGGTGAAAGCGTTAGCCGTCAATCAACATGCGGGGTGCGCTGTACTTCGTACGGAAATGGAAACAGTTTGCAGAAACAGAAGACAGCAGAATAGTGTAAAAATTGCATGTAAAATTCAAGAAGAAGCGCATAGTGTACAAGTGGAGCGCAGCAACAGAGCGCGTTGGTCGAAGCGACAGCCTCAAATCAACTCGCGTGGTGCGCTGCGCTCCTAGTTGTAATAGTTATAGCTGATAACAGTTCAAGTCCGACACAAGAAGAGATACGAGAAAAGACGAGAAAAACGACTGATAAAAGTAGCACAACGCATGTTGTTTCTCACGAGAAATTACACATGCGAAAAAAAACAAAACGAGTAAAAGGAACGCAACGCATCTTCTAGCACAAGAAATAACAACCGCCCAAGAAGCTAAGCAAAAACGGAAAGCCGACGCCGCGGCGCTTTTCGCGTGCCCCCTCTTCAGGGCTCGGGATTCTTGAACGCAGACAGAGACCGGCGCCCCTCCGAGGCGGAGGACGTCGAGGCCATGCGGTGCAGTTCCTGAAGCTCCGGCGGGGCGCGCGGCTCGATCGAAGTCGTGCGCCACGTTGCCGGCATGCGCAGAAACTGGCCGCCTTGAAAATTTCGCGTGAGCGCCAAAGGAATGAAAACGACGCAAGGGCACCGCTGAGCACGCCACCACGCCATTGGTGCAGCCTCATAAATTCGCCAAACGATGCTGACACCAGTAACGCCCTCAATGCGGATCCGAATTCCGCGCGTCGCCCCCTCGACACGGGTGACCGAACCCCGGATGTTCGTGGGAACTTGTTTCGGGCCGGCAGTTTCCAGCTCGGCGACGTCGACGTAGGCTTTCGTTTGCCCTTATGCACTGCAAAATCGCACTGGCGCAACGTAATTACGCAAGCAGCCAAATAAAAACAAAGAAAAACTAGAGGCCAGCATGCTTCTGGGCGCATAAAGAGAAAAAAAGACACTGAGAAAAATGCGCAACCACATGCGCGCCAGCACGAGTGTTGCAGAGCTTAAGAGCGGAAGCGACCCCGAGCCAAAAACGCGATCCATTGCGGGGTCGACGGCGACGACCGCGGAAAGATCGTCGCCCGCAGCTGGAGGCGGTGGCCCAGCAATCGACGCCGTTTCTTGTTGGACTCGTGGCGGGACGTGATTCGGCGCGGCAGGCGGCGCGGTCTCGGTGGGAGGCGCAGGCGGCGCGGCGACTTGCGTGAGGCCCGTGGGGCACCGCTTGAGGTCCTTCCAAGGAACATCGCGCAGAGTCGTTTCGCGTTTCTTGCCGGAGAGGACTCCGTCGCTGCGGACATCCACCCCGAGCGCCTTCACCTGCGTAACGACGAAAGGCCCCAAGAATTTTGTTGCCAAGCCGGGGCTTTTCTGTCTGTTTCTGCACAAAACACGTTCCCCAATTTTCAGCTTTTTAATGTCCTTCAGCCTGCCCCCGTCCTCCCGATTTTCAAAGAAGCGGCTGCGATTGCGTAGCGCCTGTCTGGCCAGGGAGCCGCGCAACGTTGCGGCCGCAAAATCAGCAGCGCCATCACTTTCGCCACCCGCGGCCCCGGCGCCGTGTTTCCGTTCCTCGGAATTCTGCGGCGGGGGTCCAGCCAGTGGGGTGGCTGAGGCTGCGCTTGCGCTTTCTGCCGCGGCGCCCTTGTCTGCAACGATATGCGGAGGCGCACGCTGCACGGGATGCAGAGTGGCTTCGGTGATGTCCCGTAAGGGGCGGAGAAACGTGTTCAAATGCCTCGCAGCGGGAATCCGACGGCCCCGCGTCGCCCGTCGGTTCAGTGCCGCAACAGACGCAGGCAAATGACGAGGCCAATCCTTTTCGCCCCCCCTTTTACGCAGTTGCTGCTTCAACTGTCCATTGTAGGTTATCATCGAAAAATCCTCCCTCCCCATATTGCAAAAGGAATTTGCGTTGCTGATGCGTGGCCGCGAGTTGTAGTCCGTTGCAGAACACGCGCGAACACGAACCCAGCAACACGAATGGTCTTCATAAATAGGGGGGAGCGTCTTTTTCAGTTTCGTAGAACTTTCCGCGGCACCATTGGACTGCGGATGCGCGCGAGGGCTTTCGCGGATATCCGTGCGAAAGGCTGCGCCCGCCGGGGGGTCGTTGGTGAAGGTCGCGCACTTATGGTCGCGCGTCAAGCAGGTGCACTGGCTCCAGTTCTTTATCTGCTGCAGCTCTGTGCCCTTGTCAATGTTCAAATGATCCGGCACGCCGTGTTCCTCGATCATGTCCAGATACGCTTGCTTGACCTCTTCCGCCTCGAAGCTCGTCAGCAGTTTGGAACAAACAGCGCCAGTCGTGAGGCAGCACATGTTCAAACAACCGACGAAGCGCGTGCCGACATTTTTGCCGCGGTGCGCCGAGTTTTCGCAGGGGGTGCAAACTATGCAGTCGAGCCCTGCCCAGGCAAAAGGCCGAAGGGACTCACTGGCGGGGTCCTTGAGCGCCGCCAAAGTACTGCTTGCGTAAGAATCCTGCTGCTGCGGCGCATGTTCTTCGTTGGCCGCGCAAGCCTCGCACGCTTGCACCGCAGCCCGCGCGCTTTCTTTCAAGCCGCACCACGTGAAGCCAAGCTGCTGGATGGCCACCCCAGTTGCCTCAATTCCCCCATGCGACCGCAAATGCCCAAGGGCCGCAATGCGCTGTTTTTCCGCGTCGTCGTCGGCGCCGATGACGGTAAGCCAATCCGGATACACCGTCAGCGCCTCGGTGGTTTTGCGTCCGTAGCCCTGGAACTCTGCGCGGGCCTGCAGCTTGCCCGTGCCCGGGGCCAAGCGGAAAAAGTTTTTCTTTGTTTTCCACCACTTCCGCTGCCGCGCGGTAAGTCCCAACGCTTTGGAAGCCGCCCCAATGTCAGCAGCTCGCAGCAAGAATTCAATCGCGCCATCGGGCAAAGAAAAATTTTTGCCGGCGTTGGACTTTCGCCCGCGCTTTCGTGGGGGGGGCGCGCACTCGCTCGCATCCGAAGCAGCCTCCCCATCGCTTTCGCTCGAGTCGCTCAAGCTAACAACGCTCGAAACCGACGGCGCCGGCGCATCTGCTTCCGCTGCACGTTTGCGAGAGGCCAAGCCAACCGCCACAGGTTCGCCCTCTTGCGTTTCCAAAACCGTTTCGGCCTTCGTTTCGGGGGGCGGGGCAAAGGAAGTCCCCGTCGCTTCCGCTTTCGGCTGAGCGCCGCGCCTGACAAAGGCGTTGTAGTGGCGGCCATCGTACTCGAGTCGGATCGCCTTCGCGCCGCTTCCGATTTTCTGCGCCTGCTCTTGAGAACCCGGGGCGGGTTCGATCTGAATCGACAACACTATGCAAAAGAAAAAGCAAACCAGCCCACTACACATCAGAGACAAGAGAGGCACGGGCCGCAAATTTTCGCAAAACGCGCGCCGCATCCCGCGCAAAAACGACAGCGCGCGGCGTGCCGCTCGGCTCTTTTAGGTGCGGGCGGGCTCATTTTTTCGGGTAGGGTCCATGACTTTCGCCACAGCCTCCAAAAATGCGTGGCCCAGCCATACCGTTGCCGCGGGGTGCAGAAGTTTTCCCAACCAGGCCAGCCACTTGCTCTGCTCTGCTAAAACCGCGGGGCCCGCCGGCTCGTCCACTCCGTACTCCCCCACCCAAAACGGACCAAGCTCTTCGCGCTTGTCCGCCATGAAACCCTCCACCAACTGCTTCACCTTCGGCATGCTGATGCCTGTGGCCGCCGCAATCGAAAGAGGGCAACAATTGCCGTTCCCCTCGATCTTTTGCAAAACATCGGTCGAAGCCGCACCACAATCGCTGAAAAAACGAAGCCCCCCCCCGATATCGTTTCGGGCTTCTGTCATGCTGATCTCCTGAATTTCCCGGGATTTTCGTGGAAAATCCTGGGAAACCAGCGAAAGCGCAACCAAGTCCGCGCATTAGCTGAAACAACGACGGGGGGGGCGCCTGTGTTCACGGCCTTAAGCTTCCCCCGGGGCGGCCGCAGCAGGGGCCTCCGCCGGTTTCTCGCCGCGGATCCACTCGACCCGGCACAGCCACTTGCCCCGTCCCGGCTTGGGGTTGCGGCTGCCGGGGAGCCTCCCGACTTGGCTCGGCTTGTTGGCGTGCCTGTCCCCCCCTAAAAGGGGGACCATCACCGTGCGGAAATCTTTTTCCGCTGTCGCGCCGCCGGGGACCTGAAACCACGCCTGCCAGCAGGCCGCCGAAGTGCGGGTCACCAACTGGCAGCGGTGGTCTTCCTTCGCCCTTTCCACCACCCCCGGCGCAGCGTTGTCCAGGTCGACCAAAAAATATCAAACACGCAAAGCCTCCGCAAAACAGCGCCGCGCTACGGGCGCGCGCGCGAGGTATTGCCCGACGGCTGGGCAGGAAATTGAGCGACCGCCCAATCCCCCCTGCCCTTCTGTCATGGTGCTTGGCCGCGGCCAATCAAGCAAGCGGCGCCCCTTTCCCCTTGTACGGGCGGCAAGCTAGAAGGAAAACGCGAACCCGCAACGCCCCCCATGCTACTAAAAGCGCGCGCACGAGGCGGGGGGCGGCGCTGCCCTATCTAGCCAAGGAACGGCCCCGGCGCTGCGCCACACTGGGCGCGCGCCTTGCAACTCGGGTCGCCTCGCTCGGCCGCCGGCCGGCCGAAGAAATTTTCTCACCAACCGGCGAAAACCTGCGCCGCGACCTTGGCCGGGGCCTAGGGTTTAGAATCTCCACCGGGCGCCCGCGGCTTTGCAGAAAAACGCCGCAACTCCATCGCGCGCAATGCTTGCGCGCCGTTGCGAAGGCTTTGCGCGTGCACATGCGTAAAATCCAGTCGGAGCCCATCGGGCGAAAGAAATAATGAAAATCCTTCCCGAGCGCGTTGGGCCGCCACGCCTTCGGGTCCGCTCGCTGCTCCATGCTGGCGACGCCTGAAAAACAGAAAAGATGAGTGTTGCTATTTGACATGTGAAAAAGGAAACCTCACTACGCGGAAAACGACTGAAGCGCCCTGTTTCCCCTCCCTTACTATAAGAAAGCGGAAGCGAAAATCTATCGCAACACCCAAGCGAAAAAGAATACCTCCCCCACCACGCAGCGGGTCCTTGGCCTGTGTCAGGATCAACTTCCGGAGGGCCCCGACCGGCAACAACTTCGTGACCCGTGACCTATCCCCGAAAAAAATGCTGTCCACACAAAGCTGGCGACCTCACTGCATACAAGATCGAAAACGCGAACCGGCAAAACAAAAAAAAAATCCGTTGCCCCTCGGCGGGGCAAATGCAAAAAGCCACCACGAGGCCCCGCCGCCTTCCATGCGCCTGGGGAGTCCATTTTTTTGGGGGATAGGTCATGTCTGCGACAAGTGCCGCCGCATCCAGATCGTTCGTCACCAGCCCTTCCCCCGTGTACCGGTAACCCGGAAACGCCGACGGCATCGGGGGGGGCGGGGGGGGCAGGTTGTGCAGGCCCGGGCCACCGGCCGTGCGGCCCGCGGGCGGATCGATGTTGCGCCCGGACGCTTTGCCGCTCGCCTTCGAATTGTCCCCGCAATCGGAGTCGCTCGCCACAGAAGCCGGGCCCGCGTCGAGCTGCCCGTTGGTGGGGGCCTGGGTTCCGTCCGGAGCCGGGGCAGCGGGGGCCGGGTCCTGCAGCCAAGAAACGCCCAAGACACTGCCCGGGCCACTGTGCGGAAATGCCGCCATTAGGCCGGCATCCCGCGTCTTTGTGGCGACATTCGCGGCAAAATCTTTCTGCTCGGGGCTGATGGGCTGCGCCCCTTCCATCGCCATCGCCAACATCCCGCCAAGCATGCTGCGCCATAATGGGAAAAAGTGCGCCCAAGCAAATCACGGGCGGGGGCCCTTGTATCATAAAAAACAGCCCAAAGCGCCAGGCGCTGCCTGGCCTGGGCGCCGCAAAAGGCGGAGCCCTTAGCGGGCGGAAACCCTGCAAAGCCTGGGGATTTGTCATGCCTAAAAAGCTGCCCGCGCCCTGCAATTGCAGGGGCTTGGTTTTTTTTCGTATTTTTTCCTTGGCGCTGAGGCCCTTCCCGAGCGTCTCCAAGCGCTTGAAATTCGCCCACAGCTTCGCCACCTTCATACGAGTGAGCCGCAGGCGGTCGCGCTGCTTGTCCGAGTAAGCGCCCGGGTCACTCATGTCGACCCACCCCGCGGGAGTCAGGCGAGGGGGAAAATTGCCCGAGTCCCCGAAGCAGAAGTCGGAATCCTGCAAGTCCAGCAAGCCAGCGACCGCCAAGGCCTTGGCCCGGTCGTAATCGCCGGCCACCGAAACGATTTCCATGGCCATGGTGTTTGTTGTTTTCTTTCGATTTGCAAGGCGAAACCGAAAAAATGCGAGAAGAAGAAAAACGCGCAACAACGACAAAGATAAAGAAGCCAGAAGCGTCGCAAGCTAGTGCGTAGCTGGTGTTTTTTTGCTTAGTAGTCGAGAGGTTTTTTTTTGTGGTTAGTGTGCTCGTTTTTCGTCCGAGGTAGACAAGTTGTTTTTTTTTGGGTAGCGTGTTCTTTTTTTCGTCTGAACAAGACAAACTGAAGTTGGGCACTGTAAGGGTAATGAAGATGAAACAAGAAAAAAGTAATATAAGCATGAGCCAACGCAAAGTCATCATATGCCTATCACGTGACTGCTCACATGATAATCGTATGATTTTGCACCCCCATAAGCCATTTTGAGTTGTTTCGCTCACATGATAATCATGTGATTATCATGTGAGGCCCGACGCTCGACAGCGAAAGTATTTTTCCAATTATATGACGCAACGCCCGTCATACGTACGAAAGGAAGCGTAAAAACGTGAACGAAACACAACGAAAACAACGAAAGAACGAAAACCGATCGTATACACAATACGACGACAACTCAGATTGCATCCCGTAAGGCCATGAAAAAAAGTGAAAAAGACAACTCAGCACGAAGCAATTCAGATTACTGCATGCATTTATACGATTACGATACTTATGCAATGCATATCAACCCGCCCCGGAAGCGACGAGGACAAATGATGGCAAGAACGTCACTCTCACTATCAACTGCAAATATGTCTGGGTTTGGAAACTTCAACTTGTGATGCATGTCACTGAATAATATATAACCACACTGTAATGCACCGCCAGGCATGACAAATTTTTTGTTTTCTCGTGGGGGTTGTGTTGCCTTGCGTAGTCCGCATGAGAACAAATAACAGCGTCTTTGCATGACAGATCGAAGAGGAGGTGTGCCGATGGCCCTACGCAACACAGAGTTCAGAGTCACATGCCAAACTAGCATGAGAAATCTCGCAATCTTCCAGACCCAGATGACATATTTGCGAGACATACTCGCAAAAGACCAACGGTCTTCCACCACCTCGGCCTACCTTGGGGGCCTCGATGAGACAACGGATGATGAGGAAGATGAATTTACGGTGAACGAAGGCGCGGTGACGTTCGGCGCAGCGCTTTCTGCCGCCGCGGGAGCGGGCGGGAACATATCAAATTTTAATTTAAAAATGTCTGGGTCTGGAAGAATACAAACTTGTGATGCACATTTCAGAACACAGAGAAATCTCTCATGCATAGGTAGCCAAAGCTGCTCACTTTCTGTTACCAAAGTGGGGCGACATTTGTCATGCGAATTCGGCATTGCGGAAGCTTCTCGAAAACCTGTGACGCTAGAGCTTCCATGCCACCAGACCTTCTGTGTCATGCAAAAACAGCATGACTCTTCCAGACCCAGACACTTTTGCTGCACTCGATAGAACAACAAAGGCAGCAATAGTATTATTAAAGGCGCACGAGCGAAAACGAGGACGAAGCGTCACAAGATTGACTCGCATAGTCTTGGCGGCCACTTATCCTGTGCAAAAGTATCGTATTCGTACTAATTGCATTTATGCATTACAAATCTTTTTGTTAAGGCAAATCCGCATTACAAATTCAATTTGTGATGCTAATCCAATTTGTAATGCAATTTATACTAGTACGATGCTTTGGCAATTCATACCACTCCGTGTCTGTCGAATCGCAAGATGAGATATCAACTGTAAAAATGTCTGGGTCTGGAAGGGTTGGAACTTGTGATGCAAACTCTGGAACACGCAAAAATTTGTGTTGCATGAGCGCCAAAAGCTGTCCATTTCTTGGCACGCAAGTAGGAAGTTTCTCATGCGGGACAGGCATCATGAGGCGTGCTCAAAACCTGTGATGC